ACAGCTCTGAGATAAAGGCCACCTCCCTTTGTGTGACCTGGTCTTTGCCTAGCTTATGGATCTCATCAGCTCTGCCTCACATTTTATCCTCAATAGAATAGAATAATTTGCAGTTTTCACTCATGCTGCCTTATGCCTCTGCACCTTCACTTACGTTGTTGCTCAGCTTTCCCCCAATGCACATCCAAGCCACGGCGCCTGTTGGGTGTTTTCTTTTCCTCCTGCAATATTCAGCTCCATCATCAGTTGTCCCAGGCCCCTTCTCAGACCTCCTCTTCCTCCCCACCCAGGGTCTCTGCTCTGTTCTTTCATGGAGCTTGGTCTTTCCTCTCTCATGCTGACTGGCTTTGGGCCCAAAGCCTAGTGCAAGGAGAACCCTGGCCCAGCTTTGTAGAGCCCTTGCTGAATTACAATTCTGCAACTTGGACAGCTCACCTGACCACTTCAGATCTCAGGCTCGGTGTTTCTAAACAGGCTTGTTAAACTACCTGGAGGAGTGTGGCAAAGTTTCAGTTAGATTATGTAAAACAAAACAAAACAAAACAAGTCTGGCAGAAACAAGTAGAATCACCTAGCATTAAGATATTTTTAGAACCACAGAAGTAGTCAACTTAAATGAGCTTGACCATTCAAACAAAAAGCACACTCTAGAAATCAAATCAAGCAAGGCAGTGGAAATTATAGAGTTAAAAGTGCGGGCCTTGGGGTAACATGCCCCAGAATGAATCCTGGATCTACCAGTTAGTAGATTCGATGGTTTCAGTAAGTCACGTATCTCTCTGTGCCTCAGTTTCCTCACATCGAATTGGGGATAATAATAGGGTTATCATGGTAATTCACTGTATTAGTGCATTTTTAACTCTTAGCTCAGTGCTTGGCCTTGGGGAAATCTTTCAATAAATAATCTATCTTTACAGTTACTATGATTAATACACTTTAATAGGAAAAGGAAGCACAAATACCCAAACTGCATAATCCCATTGGTGATGGAAATTAGAATGCATTTTTCAGTACTCAAAAAGAATAAAGACAGAACACATATGTCCAGAAATTACTAGTAGTTTTACCTGCGGGATGGGGATATAAGATGTGCTATTCAAGGTAGAATAATGTTACCCTTTATTTGAAATATTTGAATGGTTCATATATGTGATTTAGCAGGGAGATTAAAAATCAAAGTAAAATAAGCTTGGGTAAAATTCTAGAACATGGGTTTGTAAAAAAGAGACAACTTTTTAGACATCTATGGGATTATTTTTCCTGATAACAAAGCTCTTCTGGATTGTAGTTTCTAGAAAATGTATTTCTAGAAAAGGGCTATGGAGAATTGCATGGTAGAAGTACTTGGTTATCGGCTGTAGGGCAGGAAAAGGTGGATGAAATAAGAACAGAAAGCTGAGAGGGCCCAGCCAGCCCCTTCTCTAGCTATGTGAGGAGGGAAATGGGCTATGCTAACGTGAACACAGAATGAAGAGAGTGAAGGACACCCAGGAGCTGAGGCTTGGCCAGAGTGAGAACCCAGGGATCAGCGGGACCCCAGAGTCTGCCTTCACCCCTATTGCACCTTGCAGGGCAGAAGGTTCACTGGGTTCTGAAAGGCTATGGCAGTGATGGCGAACCTATGCCACGCGGGCTGCAGTGGGTACGCAGAGCCCTGTGTGCTTCAACATTGCTCCAGCAGCCAAGCATCAGATATTCAGGTTTAATTGTAGTGTTGGCACTTTGCAATTAATCAGTGGGTTTGCAGTTTGGGCATTCAGTCCCTAAAAGGTTCACCATCACTGGGCTGTGGGCTCCCTAGGGCACCAGAGATGAAATCCAAGACTTGCAGCACATGTACAGGCACACAGAGCCCAGCCTTCAAATATCCACACCCTTGGTGTAAGACATAAACTGCTTTCCTGGGGACTTTAAGGAAAATTCCCTGTCTTAAGCCTTGGCATGAATGGGAAGTAAAACTAAAAATCTCTTGGAATATAATATAAAATGGCTTCAGCCCAGTCATGCACTCAAGCACCTGGTGATAGCCGACACAAATCATTTCTTGGCGGAAACTCATTTTCAGCAGCAGATTTAAGGAATTTCTACAAAGTTTTCTTTAAAAATGAGCTCATAAGTTAAAAATAACACAAAATACAACGAAACAAGGGACTATTAGAAAGATGCAGCAACACAACAGACAGCAGAATCAAGATTGGAAAAAATGCATATTCAAATTGTCCGAGCCAAGGAATTTTTTTTTTTTTGGGAATTAATCTGTAGGGATGAAAACAGTGATCAGTGGTTGCCTGGGGGGAGAAACTGAGGCAGGGACAGGCAGGGAAGATGAAATGAGTATGCTTGGCCGCGGTGGATGTGCTCCCTGTCTTGACTGTCGTGATGGTTTCACAAGTGTACGCCTATGTCAAGCTTATCAAATTGTACACTTTAAGTATGTGAAACTCATTGTAAATTTTTATACCTCAGTGAGGTTGCTGAAAAATAAGAATTTTTAATGTGTTGCAGTATGAAAGAAAATACCAAAAAATTGATGCATTGAGAAATAGTAAAAATGAATGATCAGGTGTATTAAAAGAACTGAATAGACAAGAAAAACATTTTAAAAAATGATAACTGGAATTTAAATCTCAATGACTGCTTAACAGTTGATTAGGTACAAATGGTGAATGGTTCACTGACATGGAAAAGCAACTGGAAGAGATGGTCTTGAATGTTCCCAAGAAAGAGGAAGAGGAGGAAAGAAAGGCCAGGAAACACTGAGCATGCAGAAGGAAGGCCTAATATCTATATGTCTATGTATTATCTATCTATCTATCATCTATCTATCATCTGTTTATCTTTAGGATCCCAAAAGCACAGCATATAAGACTAACAGAGGTGTCATTTAAGAGATAATAATACCTGTAATTTCTCCAAAATTAATTAAAGACATCAATCTGAAAATTCACCAAGCCAAATAAATCCCAAACAGCTTCAGTATAACAAATCCACAGACACATTATAGTGAAAACCAGAAGAACAAAGACAAAGAGAAAATTTTAAAAGTTGCTGGAGGAAAAGAAGAAGAGATAATTTTAAAATCTGAAGGTAATCAGAGCAAAATGGAAGCCAGAAGACCTCAAATAATGTCTACCATGCACTGAAAACAAAGACTGTTAAATAAGAATTAAGAATTGTCGGGGCCGGGGATTTAGCTCAGTGGTTCTGGTGCCTGGCTCGCAAGCGCAAGGTCCCGAGTTTGATTCCTGGTACCAAAAAAAAAAAAAGAACTGTGCAAGTCAGAGACAAATTATATCAAGAATGAGGGTGAGCTTAAGACATTTTCGTAAACAAAAAGAAAATGGAGCGAGTTTAACTACTATCAGAGTTTCTCTAAAGAAATTTTAAAGGTAGAAGTCAAGTAAGCCCAGGAAGATCTGCAAATCAAAGCAAGGATGATGATAAAAAGAAGTGGTATCTGTGTGATGATATCCAATCAAATATGGGGTGTATTAAAAATATCAAAGATGTATCAGGCTTAAAAACACAAAATACCTGAATAACAATACAGAAAAATGAAGAAGAAATGTCTTAAGTTAGATTGTTCCAGAGTTTTGATACTGCTCAGGAAGGAAGTAGACATACAGTAGCTCTTGCCTGTGATAAACAAAGTATGAATCTTAAAATTTCCTGGCTCTCAATTAAAAGATAGCAAACATGGTTTTTAATGTTCAAACTAGAAGAAGGAAAAGACAACTGAAGAGAGGAAAAGAAGAAATTAGATAAAACAAATGAAGAAAAGAAAGTTACTAGACCCTATGAAGTAGACTGATACAAATTAAATGTAGAAATGATTACAGTAAATGAACAATATCAAATGCTTCAGTTAAAAGACATAAAATGTTAGAATGGATAAAGCATAAAGGTGAGTGTATGCTGTTTAGAAGAGGGATATCTACAACACAGGGGTATGGGTAGCTTGAGATCAAATGGGTGGCATAGATAGTCCTGGCAGCTACTATTCACAAAGAAGCAAGCAAGCCTACGTTAGAAAAGAAATTTCTAGAAAAAGATAAAGATCACCTCTTAATAACCAATAGCTTAGATAACAATTATATAAACCAGAGTATCTATTAGGATAATCTCAACATATATAAACAAAATCAAAACTTCAGAGTGATAGACAGACCCATCATTAAAGTTGGAGATTTTGAACATACTTCTCTAACTGACTGATTAATATGGAAGACAAAATATTTATAAGGACAAAATATAAATTTTAGCATATTTGAAACTCAGTATTGCTTGAATCCAGGTTCAAGTCTTGGCATCAGAATTTATTGGTTATGAACTCTGAGAAAGTTATTCACCTCTTTAGGCCTGCTCTATAAAAGATGGAAAATAGTAAGATTTGTGGAAATTTTATATGAAGCATTTAGGATATAAGCTGAAGAGTAATGGTTCTCTACATATTAAATGTTATTTTTAATCAAATCAATGAACATATTCAGAATACAATAGCCAACAATTGTAGAATACATTTTTTTCAAACATATACAGAACAAATAGAAAACTGGCTATATACTAGGCTAAAAGTAAATCTCATTCAGACTATATTCTATGACACCAAAATGAGGAAATTAGCACCAACATTGAACGTACATCTAGAAAATCACTATAGTTGTACACTTAGACATATATCTTTAAACAATCTGTATACTAAATAGTAACTACACTGGAAATTATAGCTATCTATTTTGTAACGTAAGAAAAATAAACCATCTAAAATGTGGGCAGTACAGTCAGAATAGTATCTAGAGGGAAATTTATATCTTTAAAAGATTCTTCTATTAAAGAAGAAAGGTTGAAAAATAATGAGCCTATTCTCCACAGTATGAGGTTAAAAACAATATAAAAACAAAAGTTACAAAGTAGGAAATGATTTTTATAAGAAGCAAAAATTAAGGAATTTTTCAAAACATGGAATATAGAAAAGAGAGATGGTGTAAGTAATAAAGAAAAGAGAGAGGAAGTTGTAATTACCAAGCTAAAGGTATTGAAATTATAACAAGATATGAATAACTTTACACTGATATATTTTAACTTTTAGGTAGGATAGAAAATTTTTAGAAAAACATGTGATTAGTGAAGTTGACTCAACAAGAATAAAAGAAGATATGCGTAGCCTTCTAATAGGAAAGAAAATTTGCTCAAACTTTGAACTTTCCACAAAAGTATTCTGGCCCTAGTGGTTTAACTAGGAGACTCTGCCACAAAGTAAAGTCATAAATATTTCTAATTTATACAGATTTGAAAAATTACACAATAGGCGAGGACACACTTAAGTAAATTTTGTGGTTAAACATACCTGAATCCCAGAAAGACCTTATGATCACAGAACAATCTCCCTGTAAATATAGGTACAAAAACCTTAAAGAAAATATGAGTCAGTAGAAAGCAGCCCTCTATAACCTGGACCACTCATCATGCCCAAGTTGGGTCCCGTTTAGGAATGAAAGTTCAGGTGAATATTTGATGGTTTAATATTGCTCGGATCTGGAGTCCTCCATAGCTTCTTCCAGTATGAGCTCCAGAGTGGTGGTTCTGGGAGGTGGAGGAATCTGAGCTTGTGAGAAATGAGGCCATGTAGGAGGTATCCAGGTCTTGGGATGACTTTGAAGGGGATTTGGGGACTGTAGTCCTCTGTGCTCCATCTTTTTCTTCCTGGACATGAAGTGAGTGGTTTTTCTCTGTCATGAAATCTCATCACAGGCACAAAGCAATCCCCATAGACTGAAACTTCCAGAACTCTGAGTGAAAAATGAACCTTTTCTCTTCGGAGGTTTATTATCTCAGGTATTTTGTTACAGTGATAGAAAGATGATTAACACAATTGAGACAATAATGAATGTAATATGCCCTAATAAGGGCATACTACTACAGGAAAAATTATGTGACCTCCTCAATTATAGGCAGAAAGAAATATTTGATGAAAATAATACCCACTACCGAGAAAAATCTAGCAAACTAGAAGGAAACTCCAATCACAAATCCCATGGCAGGCATCATACTTACCAGAAACATTGACACAGGCCCCTTGAGGTCAGAGTTGAAAGAACGTCCTCTATTTTCCAGTCCGCAGGCATCCTTGAGCCAGATATCCTAGCCATTTCATCAAGATAAAAAGAAGTCACAAGGTTTGAAGAGTAAATAACACCTCTGACATCCTTTGTTAATAAAATGATTGCCTGCATGGAAAATCCAAAAAGACCTATTCAGATATATCATTTGAATTTGTGGCAGAGTTTAGTGAACTTTTAGATTCCCAAATCAACTTACAAAAATCAGTCATACTTTTATACACAGCCAAGAAACAGCTAATATGATCTAAATGGGTATATTATTGTGAATAGCACAAAAAATAGAAGGAACTGAGAAGTATATCTAACAAAAGATCTTCAAGGTCCTTATGAAGAAAATGAGAAAAGATAATTACTATAAGACTTTAAGGCCTATAAAAATTGAAAAAAGCCAATGTTTGGATTGGAAGATCAGCACCATACAGTGACTGGTATCATGCAAATTCTTCCAAAAGTGATCTACAGATTCATTGTAATTTATACACTATCCTAATAGATTGTGTGTGTGTGTGTGTGTGTGTGTGTGTACACATTGACAGGATGATTCTATAACATTTATGGCATTGAAAACGTTGCAAAAGGCAGGAAAAGGAAGAGTGCCTTCAATGAGATGAACAAGATTGGCTGACTTTGGCAAATATCAATAATTACTTTACTGATAGTAATTAAGAGAGTGTGATATTGTTCTTGGGTCAGACAAACCTACAAATGAAATGAGAGAGAGAGAGAGAGAAACAGAGAGTTTCTTTTAAGCAAAATTGACATTACAAATCAGTAGCAAAAGAGTAGGTTGTATAATACGTGGTTCAGGACAATTTGTTAACCATATGAAAAAAAGAGTCCTACATGACACTATACACAAAAATGAATTTTAAGTTAGGGAAGATCTGTGAAAAAAGTAGTAAAAGTAATAAATGATCATATAGACTAATATAGTCATGAATTTGTAATTCATTAAAGATCCATGGAGTTGACAAAACAGGTGCATGTATTGGAAGACCAGCACCATACAATGACCTGTATTATGAAAAGTCTTCCAAAACTGATCTGCAGATTCATTGTTACTTACACACCATCCCAATAGATTAATTTATAGTAATGAATAAGTAAAGGACTCAAAGCACAAAACTAAAAATTCTTAAAGAAAAAGTTTAATAAGTTAAAAAGGCAGCAAAATAAAGGCAAATATAAACATAAAAATGGAATACATATTTATTTTGTGTATAGTAGATACAATTTTTAGTATACAGAGTAAATAATTAACTCCTACAAATCAGTAAGAAAATACAAGTGACCTAATAGAAAAATGGGCAAAAGATATGAACAGGCACTTCACAAAACAGGGAACTCAAATGGCCAATGGCAGAGGAAGAAGTGTGATCCCCTTGAACAACAGGGAAATGCAAATTAAAACCATGATGAGATACTATTTCATACCCACCATATGGGCCAAAATTGTAAATATCTGACAATAGTAAGTTTTGGCTGTGATATGGAGCAAGGGAGGCTCTCTGAATCCCTTAAGGGGGTACAAATTGGCATGTTCACTTTGGAGAACAATTGGCCATTATCTAGCAACATTGGATCTGTTTACATCCTTTGTCCCAGCACTTCCTCTCTCAGGTGCGCACCCTGAAGAAGCTACTCCATCTGGAGACTCATGGAGCAATCAGTCCAAAGGAGCTCATCGTAGCAAAACACTGGAAACAACCCAAGTGTACACCAGCAGTAGAATATATAAGTACACTCTGGCAGAGTCACACAATAGAATATTGTTTAGCTCTGAAAACAAATGGAGCCCAGGTACATACAACAACATGGATAGATCTCAGAAACATAATAAATTGTGAGCCAAAAATCCAAAACAAACCAGCAACAACAACCACTGAAAATCAGCACACGCTGTCAAGAGAATTCATTCAGCAGGATTCCATTTACATAAAGTTCAGCAGCATGCAACACCGAACAATAATTTTTAGGAATACAAACAAGTGGTAAAGCTCTGAAGAAAATAAGGGTGCATTCAACACAAAGCAGAAGAGCCACTCACAGAAAAGGCAAGGGAAGGAGCCAAGATGGGTAGCAAAAGGTTCTAGTTGCCAAATTTATCATATGGGTGTTGTGTTGTACTTTGGCTTTTTAGACCTTATACATATTTCATAAAATGTTATGTCTGAATTCGGTAATTCATAAATAGAATTTTACATTGTATTCAAGGTGTAATAAAAGTGACATATCTGGGGTGGTGATGACAATCATTACAATACTGACGAATGTGCTATAGAGAGGGCACTGCCCACATCTCTGGGATTCTAGGGGGTTTCCAGGAGGAATGAGTGTTTAATAGACATCAAAACTTTCTTGTTTCCATGGTTAGGAAGAATCTCCCAGCCCAGGTAAGAGAGGGAAGAGGGAGAATTCTGAAGTGGGGAGGATGCACTCTGGAATGTGTGCCTGAGATCTCACCAATAGCATTTCAGAGTCTCTGGAGTTTGGACAGTCTAAGAATTAGTAGGGATTCGGTCAAACACAGCACAGTACCATGTATGTGCATCAGGGAGATATTCTGGTTAATAACAGCCTTGTACTTGAATCCTCTGTCTACCAGCTTTGCAGCTATTTGACCTTGGATGAGTCATTTCTTCACCTTGAGGTTCAGTCATGACGATTGGAATTGTGTGGACCTAAAGATGCTGCTTTGAGGGTTAGATAAACAATGCCTAGAATGCACTGAGACGAGGCTGATCGACAGTGAGGGCTGATTACGTGTTACTTTGTTTACCCTGTGAGTTAAAAGGAAGGATGAGAACCACAGCACACACAGGCGTGAGGGTGCAAGGGAGTCGGGGTAACAGAGAACAACGCCAGGCTGGAGCCCTGTGTGGTGTCACTGCAGAATAGCACTGGGAGCCCAGTGCAGAGCAGGGAACAGGTCTAAGTTGTAGGTACCTGGCCAGGCAGGTGAACATGGCCTGAGGCAGAAGCCCTTCCTAAAGGGTGTCAGGTAGGAGCGCAGCAGAGGTGAACAGGGCCCGAGTCTAAGCCTTGTGCTATGGGACATTTTGTTGTCAGGAAAACCTTCCTGGCTGCTCTGCTGCAGGAGTAGCTTGGGGGCAGCAATGTGGGAACTGATGGAACAGCCATCTGGGAGGCTGCCGGCCCCCTTGCCAACCTGCTTGGTTTACCAGCAGCCCTTCACCCGGGGTGGGGCTAGATAGGAAGGGACTCAGGAGCCGCACAAAAGCCGCGTCTTTGACAGGTTCTCTTGGTGGCTCAGTCTCAGAGCTGATTTTAAATGCAAAGAGGGAAATGGGGGCAGCATGGTGAGCGGGGTGGTGCGGAGGAGGCCGAGCTCAGATCTTATCTGGACTCTTGGGCTGTCATCGGAGCTGTTCAGAGCAGGTGCTTCAAAGCCCTCGGCATTCCCTGCACCCGGCCCGCATCGGGCACACACACAAAGTGGGCATGCATTATTCACACGGCATCGCTCGCCTGGTGCAGCTCGGCAGAGCGTTTGCAATGTCGGTCCCTCCTTCCCCAAAAGCCCATTGTTAAGAATTATAAACAAACAGGACGGAAGCCTCCACAGTCACTTCGCTGGTGCTGCTGGCGGGATCCACAGTCATAACAGGAAATCATGCACTCGCTGCAGAAAGATTTGTTCTAAGAGACGGTATGATTGCCACTGACCTAAATTCCAGCACCCCAGCCCTGTGCCTGCAGAACTTTCAGCAAAGTACTGCTGGGGAGAGGCAGATTCAACGGATCTGTAGCGATCACTTTCTTTCTGTTCTATGAATGCATTGCCACGACTATCCAGTGACCCTGAAACCTACTTCTAATTCTGCAATTGGCTCCCCCAAGGTGGACTTAAAGGGGGCAGAAGACAACTGCATGCAGGGTTTGGAGAGAGCAGAGGGTGTTGTTGGCTTTTCATTAGCGAAAGCTGATGTCACCCTTGCTGTGACTGAGCGTAGTGACAGTGAAGCCGGGTCTGGCCTACAGCCACTTCCTTCCTGTACCTGTGATCTTTGAGATCCATCACTAAGTAGTTATCCAGAGGACCTTGGCTGTGGAAACTGGGCCACATTCTTTTCTACTTTGCAGATATGCTCATCTGGGCACAGTAGCCAAATGCCTTGCCCAAGGTCTTGAGCTCAGAGTTCACTCAGCTGGCTACTGTGCACCCATGGCAGAATGCAGCTTCTCAGGCCTTTTCATTCATTCATCCATTCATGCCATCCCTAAGTAGGCCATTCTAGAGCACCTGCCTCCTGCCAGGTGTGGTGCTGGAGGCTAATGATACAGAACTCAACACAATGTAATCCTAGCCCATAAAATGCTCATAGTCCAATAAGAGTAGATAGGTTAGCTACTAAATGTGACATGATGTAATAAGAACTATAATCCAGTCGCTAGGGGATTCCAGAGAGGAGTATTCTTTTCCCGGAAGGCTTCCTTGAAGAGGTGACACAGCATTGGCCTATAACACTAATAACCTGCATTTAGCAATAAGAAAGGGGATCAGAGGTCACAAGATGTGTGAAGTCTTTGAAGGTGGATCAGCATAACCCCTGCCTTCGATCATTCATTGTGGTAGGGGAAGTGGGTGCCCCCGGGCTGTGGAAATGGCTCACGACAATGATGGGTAACCCAATAAACAGGTAGCCCTGGTGTTCAAACGCTTCACAGAAGCCATAGAATCTGAAGAACAGTTCTTTTGTCACTAGGAAGCCCTTTTACAGTTTAGGAAGCCACAGGTTACAGAACTGAAGGGACTTGACCTGTCACAGAGCCAGAGCCAGCGAGGGAGAAACGAAGATTTACACCCCAGGGCCCCAAAGCCTGGTCCAGTGCCTCCCTGAGTGCAGGAGCTCTGGAGCACTTCCCTTTCCTCACCATCCAGACAGCCTCTGGATTGGCACAGTGTAGGATGTCAGCATGCACAGCACTGTACCTTAGGAGCTGGGGTCCCACTGCACCTCCCAGCTCCTACCACACCTGCAGGGTCCTCCGCACACTCAGAGCCCTTGGGCCTGCCTCCCTGTGATGAGGGAGAGTGGAAGAGTTTTGCCGGCGTGTGCGGGGTGCTCCTGCAGAGAGGCAGCAGGAAAGAGGCGGCCTGGAGTGCACCCTCAGGAGCCCCTGCTCAGTACCCCTCACATAGGGGAGCTCAGGGAGGACCCCCCCCCGCCCCAGAAGGAACTTGGGCTCTCAGGGAGGCCAGAACAGGGGACAGGGGCCTCAAAGGCTGCTCTGTGCTCAGGTGATGTCCCAGTCAGGGTGGTGCTCTGGCCAGTGCTGGGCCAGAGTCTGGGATACCACGGGGAGGAGCCTGGCAGGCCTCCTCACACTTGGCCTGACTTCTCATCCACCTGGCCCTGGCTGTGTGGCCCTGGATGAGCCGGTTGCATCTTGCTTCCCGTTCACTGAGGTGAAGGTGGGGCTTGGCTCAGTGAGTGGCAGGCAAGGGGTTCCTGAGGGCACCCCATGAAGAGGAGGTAGGACCAGGTTCTGACCCAGCACTGCCAGGATACACTCTGTGCATCTTGGGTTAAACTTCCCTGTGCCTCAGTTTCCTCAACGGTGAACTGAGAACATTGACTTTACCAGAAGAGGAGGGGAGTCCTCTGAGTGGATTATGGTCAAGGTAGACATTTTCCAGGACTTACTTCAAACGTTCTGTTCCCTGTAGCTGGAATATTCTCCTCCGTGCTTACCACCCGCTCTTTTCTCTCCCCTAACTCATTCTATGTCTATTTTGCATTTTTCCATATCTATTTTTTTTGTTTTGCTTTTCACTGATACATGATAATTTTACATATTATGGGTACCATGTGGGGTTTCCATTTAGGTATCCATTGCATAATGATCAAATCAGGGTAACTAGGGTATCCATCATCCCAAAATTTATATTTCTTCATGATGATAACATTAAAAAGAATCTCAAAAAGCAGCTCTCATGGAAGTAGAGGGTGGAATGGTGTCCACCAGAGGCTGGGGAGGCGAAGTTGAGGGGAGAAGGGGAGAGGTTGGTCATCCTGTGAAATCGACCGGAGGAAGGAGCTCTGGGGTCGTACTGCATGGAGGGTGACTATAATTAGCAACAATGCAATGTGTATTTCACAACAGCTACAGGAGAAGTGATTGCATGTTCCCTATCCATGCTCATTCCCAAGTTCAAGTTTCCTTTTGGAATGATGCTATCCCTCCTCTCCAACAGAGCACCTTCCTTTGTCATAACTGTGCTTTGAGATCATGATTATGATGTGCACTTGCATCCCTATTAGGTGGACATCAGCCCAGTAGACCTGCACCCCACAAAGCAGCCCCTGTTGCTAGCTTGTGCTCAGGAGTATGCTCTTGGCCACAGCCATAGCAAATGCTCATGAAAGAGGAGGATAAACTGCCAGAGTAGGACAAAGGACCACCAACTTTCCAAATGGCTGCAGGAGGGGAGCTGCTGCAGACCTGTTGAAAGCTTGTTTATTCCCTGGAGACCACCAGCTTCTCAGACCAGCGTTTACCAAATCTATGGTGGTTTCACCTTATCTGTTTTAGAGTGTTGTCCCATACAGGTATACACTGCATTAATAATCAAATCAAGGCAATTAGGGTATCCATCACCCTATTAAAATAAAGTATTGCACTCCCAACAAAGTGATTGTCTTATGCAGAATGCACCAGTAATTAACCTTGCAGAGACACTCTTCAAATCACTCTGGATGTTCATTGCTAGGTTGTGCAGTTCCTCCCTCCTCTCCTGTTTATATCTGCATAACTGTGTGTGTTGGTTGTGCTTTTTAATTCTCCCTGTATATTTTGACTTTATTAATTGATTCCATCTGATTACATTAATCAAAAGTAATTGAGATGTAAAATAGTTTTCAGTTGAAGTTTTTTTAACAGCCCGAACAGTAAAGAAAAGGGGATCAGAGTCTACTGACCAAATTGTGTTAGAAATAGTTTGCTGCCCGTTCAATGAATATTTTAAGTACAGTTTATGGAACTCCAAATTTATAATGCTTCACTGATTTGCTAAGAACATATTTTATTCTAATATTTAGTTATTTTATGCTCCTCTAAAACAGGTACAGTATCTTGATAAGAGAGTAGAGAAATTAACCAAGTTATTGTGTGGCACAAGTTAAATTTGTTTTATGTGTAATACAAATCTTTAGATTTTGTTTTTTGCTTGAATTTCTAGAAATGTGAACGAATGAGGTTTTAAGTACACAGTGCTACTTAGAAAGGTTGGCTGTTAAAAAGAAGCAATGGTATATCAGCACAAGCCCTAGAGATGTAGGAAGAATAGAGAACTTTTCCCTCCAGCATCTAGTGTGGGGCTCTTCTGTCTCCAGGGAGTCAGAGGTCAAGCTTGGGCCTTTCAGACTTTTCCCTAGTGTGTGTGTGTGTGTGTGTGTGTGTGTGTGTGTGTCAGCATATGTGTGTGTATTTACATTTATACGGTACCGTGGGCCGAGCCTGAGGATGGCCCTTCAACTCCTTCCTGCTCCTTTTCTCCCCACAGACGCAGTCCGTTTGACTCACCTTGTAGACCCTGGACGACACAGCCCCCGGAGACAGTTACCGTAGCATGTCCTTCCTCGGTCCCTTCCTGCGCATGCCCTGATCAATCACGCTACGTTCTGCCTAGCCCACGTGGGCCACGTAGTGCTATTTGCCCCACCTTCTCTTCCTGTTTGCCTTCCACTATAAATAGTGTGTGGCGCTCCAGGCAGCCGTTAGCTCCCACCAGACGAGCTATGGTTCCGTCTCTTCTCAGCTATCAAGAGTAATCTTGGTGTTTGTCGTCTTTTCTTCATCTCCCCCCACTCTCCCAGGCTTTCCCGTATGCTGTGTGGGTCGCGGGAATAAGGCATTTGACTTAATTTTTTCCATAATTGGAATTCAACTAGGCATTTTGTTGCACAGTTGAATTCTTCTAATGGTCTTCTAATAGACATCAGAAACTCGTCTCTGTTAGATCGATCTATCTATCTATCTACCTGTCATCCATCTATCTACCTATCTTTTTTCCATCCATGCTGGTATTCTGTATCATGCATGCACAATAATTAATTTAATGAAGCCCACTTACTTTGTTAGCAATTTTTGCTATTATTCATAACACACACAAAGCCGTGATAAGCCTTGTGCATGTATCATATAATACAGAGACTAGCTTTCTGCAGGTGTAATTCCTAGGCCCTTTGTTCTGCCTGTGTGAGCCACATTTTCATTTATTTTGCTATGAAAACCTATAGGTAGTTTGCTACAATTATTCATGTGACTTGGGCCTGCAGCCCTGGAATATTCCATAGCCGTGCTGTGAAAGATCTTCATGTGAACCCTCCTATGGCGACATGCAATTTATTCACAGAATTCACCTGTGTGCTTCCATTGCTAAGAAAACAGAGACCCTGCTCTGTGAACTCTGCTCAGCTCTGCTGGCTGTCTACATCTTGTCCTAAAAGCAAGAAAAATTGTCAGTTTTCAATTCACTTTGTTCTAGGTTAAATTGGTAAAGATGGTGATTCTTGTTCATCCAGGGGCATTTTCTTTCTTTTAAAAACATTGTGTAAAGATGATCAGATGTCCATGCTCCCTCCCACATCTCCACAGGAGCGTCGCCTTGCCCTGTGCAGCACAGCGGCCTTGAGAGGGAACTCAGGGGTCCAACCAGACAGGCCCATTCCCTACCAGACTTTGGGCAAATGGCTCAGCATCTTTCTGCCTTGGCCTTGCCACCTCTGAGACTGCAAGTGTGGTCAGGGGTGTCGAGCCCTCTGGATAGCAAACAGCAATTTTTATTACGTCAGAGCTGTATAAAGGTTGAAAGCCTGGCTTTGGATTTAGAGAATCTTGCAGTCAAGATTCTGCTCAGCATCTGCTTTGGTGGATTATTTGGGTGACTTAATAATCCCATTCCTTCTGACAGATGATGAAATCCCTCGAGTAAATCCCAGAGTCCCCCCGTGTGCAGTGTCACCCCCTCACCTCTGGTGCTGGCTGCTCAGCTTGGCTTTGTCACCTTTGCGACAAAGACCACAGCTTTGCTGAATTAAAAATAAAGACCTAAGCTGGCAAACCGAAGTGAATGGAGCCCATTGTTTAACGTGACTTTCCCTTATCTGTACAACACATGCATAAGATAATGCTGTTGACATTTTTGTCACCGAAATGAGATGTGGACCCTTAGCACTGCTTTAGATGGAAGTCTTAGGAGGAGGCACAGCAGCTTTCTTAGCATTCTATGATAAGAAAGACACTGCTCCTGTCTGACCAGGAGGCAACTGTAGCCCTGGCTCCCTCGTTCAACCACCTGGAGGAGCTGGCATGATCTGGCCAGTCCCAGAGAGGACATGGAACTGCGACTAAATAGGACGTGAGCAATGCAGAGGAGTGCAAAGATGCTTTCCGGTGCCTTTCCTTTCATAGATGATAAAACTGAAGAAAGGGGTCACCAGGGGAGAAAGGCAGACCATGTGACTCCGTGAGGCGCAGGGGTCCTTTTAAAATACCAGGGTATATTTTGTCTAAGAACTGTCCTTTTTCGGCAGACGGTCTACAGATTGTAATTCCATGTATAACACATCACTCCAAGCCCGTACCCATCTCTTCATCTTCAGCTCTGAGTGCTTTGGACTGAGCTTCAAGTGTGCCTCATTTAAGCACATTTAAAAAGTCCCCCACACTCAATTCACTGAAACATGCAACAAAAGGAACTAAGAGAGGAAGCCGAAATCTTAGTAGTTCCCTACACATTGAGTCTGGGCAGGAAAATAAAAATAACAATAAATCCACACCTAAGCATACTTAGTGGAACTGGCAATTGGTAAAAATTAAGAGACAAAAGCAACCAGTGAGAAAAGGCAGGATGTACGTGTGGAGGAAGGATGCTATGGAAGGGGAGGGATGCTGAACTAATGCCAAGCAAGACATTGGTTGACTATGCACACAGATTTATAGCAAACAAAGTAATTATTATGAGTTTGAATTTGTATAGCTTTGAAACAACAATACTAAAATATGAGACAACAATACCATGAAAGACAGGAGAGGGAATTCAATGCTCCGTAGTCTTTGTAACACTAAAGAGAATAATCATGTCAAATAGACTTTTCTTAGTCAAATATTTATTTTAAAGGTAAGAAACTGACACAAGAAAAAAGGAAAAAAATCCATAATAAAGTTAGGGCAACAAACTCAAATAGAGGCAGAAATTAAGGAGAAAATTAAAAATGGGTAAATAAAAATTATTAGAGTATATTTAACTTTATCAGTGGTCACAGTGAATATAAATAAATGAAACTTTCTAGTTATAAGAAAGATACGTATATTGGAGTAAAATAAAAAAACTTCCAGCTATATTCTGTTTGCAAGAAACATGCATAAATGTAGTGGCACAGAAATATTGGAAGTGAAAAATTTTAAGAGAATGATAAGAAGAAACAATTTAGGAAATCCCAAGGAATCTGTGAAATATTTCTAGAGGTAAGAAGTCTATCAAAGTCACTGGATGTAAGAAAAACATATAAATAATTCACTATATTTTTACATACTAGGAGAAAACACATAGGTACCAAAATTTAAAATATAAAACTACTTAAAATAAAAAAACCTTAGTTATAAAACTAGTAAAAATTGCAGAACTTATATGATAAAAATGATGCTACACTGATAAAGAAAATAAAAGTAAATCTGAAAAAGAGAGACTTTCTTCTTGGATTGAGAAATCCAACATAGTAACAGTATCAGTTATCTACATGGTGAGAGCTAAGTTTAATGTGATTCCAATCAAAATCTCAGTGAGATTTTTTTGGTAAAGATAAGATTATTTTGAAGTTCATATGAAAATAAAGAGACAGAGAGAGAAAGGCTAGAATACATAAAACTATTTAAAAAAAAAAAAGAATAAGGTTGGGAGCACTCTGGCTACCCAATTTCCAGAATTAGTATAAGGTTATAGTAATCGAAACTGTGGTGTTGCTACAGAAATAGACACATAGATCAATGAACAGAATAGAATACTCAGAAATAAACCTACTCAAAATATGCCTAATGAGTTTTTTAAAGTGTCAAAGTAATTAATTGAAAAGGACAACATTTTCAATAAATAATGCTGGAGAAATTGTAAGCCCACAGGCAAAAAAGTACAAAAAATCCAAGTGACCTGAGTCTCACCCTTATACAAAAATTAAATCTTAAATAGATGAGGAATTTAAATAAAGAAGTGTGCTTCAGAAAAAAATCTTCAGTATCTAAGGATAAGTACACTTGACATAAACCACACAATCCATAAAAGGAAAAACTGATAAGTTGGATTTCATCAACATTAAGAACTTTTCCTCTGCAAAAAACACCGTTAGAAGAAGAAAAAGACAAGCTGCAGAGCGGGAGAAGATCTTTGCATACCCCAATGGGATAAAAGAATCCATAAAGAACTCTTAAAAAGCAATTATAAAAAAAAAAACCTAACAAAAACCTCAAACAATTCAATTGGAAAGTGGTCAAAGACAACAGAGACATTTCACTAAGGAAGATATACATACAGCAAATCAGCACATGAAACGTTCAACATCTTATTAGGGAAATGTGAATGAAATCAGCAATGATATCAGTCTATACCTATAGAAGAGCTACAATAAAAGAGAATGAAACATCAAATGCTGGTGAGGACACACCAAAACTGGGTTCCCTCATCCTTTGCTGGTGGGAATGTAAGATGGTACAGCTATTCAGGAAGAGATTTTGTTAGTTTCTTAAATTCTCAACACACAGTTACCCTATGATCAAGGAATTGCACATTTAGTTTTCAATTTATATCAGAAAAGTGAAGATTGAAATTCACATAAAGATCTATATACAGATGTTTATAGTGATTTCATTCATAATAGTGGTCATGGCTACAAAGCGAGTATGAGAACTCCTTGTATCAATGGAAATGTTCCATAGTTCATTGTACATTGTTGTTATCCTAGTCTGGGTATTAATATCTTGCATGACTTGAACATTGGGACAAACTGGATAAAGAGCACATGGGGTCTCTCTTTATGGTTTCTTAAAACTATATGTGAACCTGCAATTATTTTAAAATGTAAATGTTCATTAAAAAATAAACATGCAAACAATTTCCATCTGTTTTCTGTTTACAAGGGAAGCACACATAAATAATGAGAGAAATATTGTAGGCAAAGAGATTTAAAAAATACAGTAAAAGTACAATCCAAAGGAAAGCTGGAAAGGCAATATCAGTATTACATCAAATAGACTTTGAAGCAAAAAAGGCATGAAGGGAAAGAATCTCATTAGATAACAAAACAATAGAGACAGCTCTGCAGGAAGTTATAACAATCCCAAATCTCTGTGTTCCTAACAACACACTCTCAAAGTAGGAAAGGTGGGCAGAACTGTAATAATAATAATAGAGACATTCGGTTGCAGTGATAGATTTTAACAGTCTCTTAGGAGAGATCAGAAAGACAGAAATTTACTATGGAAAATTCAAGCACTAAAAATAACAGGCATAGGGTTGGAAGTTGTAGCTCAGTGGGAGTGTTTGCCTGGCATGTAGTAGGTCCAGAGTTTGAGCCCCAGTACTATAAAAATGAATGAATAAA